GCAGAAGCCTACTGAGTTTCCAATAGCCAAAGCTAGAAAATTTTGAGTAAAATAACGTAATATTGGATTTTAATTTAAAGTATAAAATAGATATTTGTAAGTCCATAAAGATATAAATGATTGAATAAATAAATAGGGGAGAAGAAACAAATTATTCCTGCAGAAAAAATTCAAACAATTCTTGCAGATTGTTTGTGTGCAAGAAGGTTTACATCTCAAGCATGGGCATCTTGTTGCGACTTTTCTCTAAAAGTTCAATAGACAAAGCAGGGAAAACGGCTACCTTTACATGGAGAAACCTGACAAACAGCACTTCAGCCAAATGATCAAGGTTAATATATACTGGGATTAGTCTCATTGATAGTATGTATCTTTTATATAAAAATATCACTTGACCTCTGAATTTTCTTTGAAAACCCATAATCTGGTCTAATCATGAGAAAAAAAAATCAGACCATCCTAATTGAGGAGCATTCTATAAAACATCTGACCAGGACCTCTCAGAATTGTCAAGGTCATCAAAGTAAGGAATATCTTACAGTCAAACCAACAGGAACCTGAGGAAACAGGTTGATTAAATGTGACGTGGAATCCTGGATAAGATCTTAGGACAGAAAAGGGACATCAGGTTAAGATTAAGAAATTTTTTTTAAAAGTATGAAACGTAGTGATGTTATTAATGGATTATTGTATGTATCAATACTAGTTCATTAATTATAACAAATGTATCATACTGAAGTAAGATGTAAATAATGGGGGAACTGCATGTGAGGTACATGGTAATTCTCCATACTCTTAGTACTATTTTTCATAAAGTATAAAACTATTCTAAATAAAAAGTATGGGCCAGGTGCAGTGGCTCACGCCTGTAATCCCAGCACTCTGGGAGGCTGAGGAGGGCAAATCATGAGGTCAAGAGATCGAGACCATCCTGGCCAACATGGTGAAACCTTGTCTCTACTAAAAATACAAAAATCAGCTGGGCGTGGTGGCATGAATCTGTAGCCTTAGCTACTCAGGAGGCTGAGGCAGAAGAATCTCTTGAACCTGGGAGGCGGAAGTTGCAGTGAGCAAGATTGTGCCACTGTACTCCAGCCTGGTGACAGAGCACGACTCTCTCTCAAAAAAAAAAAAAAAGAAAGAAAGAAAAAGAAAAAAGTGTGTATGTGTGTATGTGTATATAAAATATATATTGTGTAGTTATGTATATATAACCATAATGTTTGTCCATTTAAACCTTCCATAAATCTTAACTCTACTGACAAAGCTTCCATGTGATCAGACCCTGCACTGTCTGGGAAATCAGTATATTAACTCCACATTGGTCTGGAGTTAATATTCTGTTTTTTGAATATGCTCAGAATAGTCCTACTTCTACATCTTTCTACATGCTATTCCTTCTTATTGAAAAACTCCCCAGAAACTTCTAAATATCACCTTATCAGAGAGATACTCTATGATTATCTGAGGCAAAACAGACCTTGCCACCATTCCCCATCATTTTCCCTGCTTTATTTCTTGTCATAATACTTATGCCCACCTGGTTTATATGTATACGTATAAGTGCATGTGAGTGTATGCGTGTGTGTTCATATCCATCTGTCCCAAAAATTACTATGTAAGTTTTATACAAGAATTTTTTGACTATTGTGAGCACCGCTTTGATTCTAGTTTGCAGAACAATGCTGGCATGTTACAATGTTCACAAATATTTCTTGAATAATGCATGAATAAGTGAATTGAAGTGAATTATTTGTGTTAAATAGCACAACTTTCCCTAGGAACTATGATGAAAAAGCAGTATCTATAGCTTGAAATATATTGATCAACACTGGTGTTAAAGGTAAAATAAGTAAAGATCTAACCCAAATATTGGTACTTTTAAGAAACAAATTGTGTATATTGTATATAGTGGCATAAAATTATAGAGGATTAATAATCCCAGTCAACAATATGCATATTGAAAATAATAAATAATAACTAAGCTTAAACTCATCTCATCTCATACTAGTCTATTACTAAGCTTTTTCAACTTTGTCATGGCAGGTAGCTTATTGACACATAAAGCATCTAGCATTCAATAAAAAAAGGATTATAAATTTTCTTCTGCAGTACACACAGCATCCTCAAAATAGATTTTTCTGATATTTAAAGAGATTTAGCACTGACATACATAGTATATTATCATTTCAGACTCCACTGTGATTTATATTGACTTGAATCCAAACTTATTTTGATATATGTTTAAAGTGTTAGAAATGAAATTCTATGATTTTCCCAGATATAAAATTTATTAACCACCTTCAAACTCAGGACAAGTTATTTGTTGGACTTAAATGCTGCTAGCCACAATCTTCTTGAATTGTTATAATATGTGACTAAGAACTACTTCAGGGCATAATGCACCCAAAGAAGTAGAAACTTACATTGAATTAGAAGTAAAAGTAGGAGAAAAAGGCAAAGTTAATTCTATATATTTACATTTTCTGTTGAATAAGAATCTTTAATACTCTAGCTAAAAGATTCAATTATTGTCAATAGTTATACATATGGTTCACTTTATGATGTGACTTAAACCCTACTGGTATACTGTTGCTAAAATCTAAGTCCTATTTGGGAGATTATTTGTATTGTAAAGACTCTTTAATTTTCTGCATATTACAATGTTTTGGTATTTAAAAATGCCTCTATGTCTGGGAAAAGACTGCCCTTCCTAGGGCTAGATAATTCTTAAAAGCAGCAAAAGTCTAACTGGGAGTATATCTCTGGTATGCAAACTAAGCAATCTAGAGCTATATCTCCTCTCTCTGGAACATATTTATTAGTCTCTATCAACCTCAGTACATTTGTTGCAATTAACAAACAACACTGACACATCATTATCACGCTAAATCCATAGTTTACCTTAAGGTTTACTCTTGGTGTTGTATATTCAATGGGTTTCAACAAAGACATGGCATATATCCACCATTACAATATAGTACAGAAGAGTTTCACTACCCTAAATATTCCCTGTGCTTCTCCTATTTTCCTCTCCTCCCAACAAACCTTTGACAACCACTGATACTTTTACTGTCTCCGTAGTGCTACCTGTTTCAGAATGTCATTTAGATGTAATCACACAGTATGTAGCGTTCAGATTGGTTTCTGTCATTTAGTATAATGCCTTTAAGGTTCGTCTGTTTTCTTTTCATGGCTTACAAGATCACTGTAACTAACACTGAATAAATATTTTATTGTATGGATGTACCATAGTTTATCCAGTTATCTGTTGAAGGATATCTTGGTGACCTCCAAGTTTTGGCAATTATGGTTAAAGCTGCTATAAACAGCACATGTAGGTTTTTGTGTGGGCATACCTTTTTACCGTATGTAGGCAAATACCAGGGAGTGTGTCTGCTGGATCTTTGGTAAGCATATGCTTAGTTTTGAAAGAAATTGCCAAATTATATTTTAAAGTGGGTATAATCATCAATAAATGAAAACTATTATTATTCTACATTCTTATAAGCATTTGATGTTCAGTGTTTGGTGTGTAAAGTATCTTGTTTTAATTTGCAATTCCATAGTGATGTATTATGTTGAATATTTTGATATGCTGCTTGCCATCTGTATGTCTTAAATTGTAAGGTATTCCAATCCTTGGCCCATTTTTAAACTTTTAAAAATTAATTTGTCCATAATTTAATTTTACTGTTCAATTTTAATGGCTTTTTGTCTATTTTGAATAACAGTCCTTTTCAGATGCAATTTGGAAATATTTCTCCCAGTTTGTTGCTTGTTTTCTCATTGTCTTAACAATGTATATACAGAGAAAAAGTTTTTAATTTTAGAGTAGTTCATATTATCAATTAATTTTATGGTTATTTTAGAATTGTGTCAAACCATAGTAATCTACATTTTCTCCTATGTTATCTTCTAGAAGTTTCACAGTTTTGCATATCACATTTAGGTCTATAATCCATTTTAAGGTTTGTTTGGCAAAAGTTATAAGGTCTCTGTCCGGATTCATATTTTTATATTTTCAGTTTTGCTGTTGTTGTAGCTGTTCTGCATGTAGATACCCAGTTGTTCCAGCACGATTTGTTGAAGCGTCTATCCTTTTGGCACTGATTGAATTGCCTTTTCACCATTGTCAGTGATCAATTGACCAAATTCATGTGGGCATATTTATGACTGGTTTGTTCTATTCCATTGATTTATTTGCTTATTCATTGACCAATACCTCACTGATTTGATTGCTGTAGCTTTATAGTAAATCCTGAAGTTGCATAGTGCCAGGCTTTTGACTTTGGTTTTCTCCTTCAGTATTGCAATATTTACTATTCTTGGTCTTTGGCATCTCCATTATAAACTTAAGTTTACTTTGTTGATATACACAAAATGACTCGCTAGGATTTTTACTGGGATTGCATTGACTCTATACATCATGTTTAGCACACTGACATCTTGACAATAGTATTAGTCTTCCTATTTATAAGCATGGAAATCTATTTATTTTATTCTTTGTTAATTTCCATTGTATAAGACAGGAATTGACTTTTTCATATTAACTTTGTATCTTGTAATCTTGCTATCATCACTTATTAGTTCAACAAGTTCTATTGTAGATTAGATTTTATACATAAATAATCCTATAATTTGTGAACAAAGAGAGTTTTATTTTTTCCTTCCGAGTCTGTATATCTTATATTTCTTTCTCTTGTCTTATCACATTAGCTAAGACTTCCAGTATAATGTCAGAAAGGAATGTGTGAGTGGTAACATTCTTGCCTTGTTCCTGATCTTAGTAGAAAGATTTCTAGCTTCTCATTACCAAGTATGCTGTTATCTGTAAGGTTTCTCTATATGTTCTTCAATTGGATGAAATTTCCCTTTATTCCTAGTTTGCTGATAGTTTTTTTTTATCATGATTGAGTGTTGAACATTGTCAAAGGTGTTTTTATGTATTTATTATGTATTTTTTCTTCTTTAGCCTATTGATGTGATGAATTACATTAATTGATTTTTGACTGTTTTCCTAGTTTGCATACCTAGAGATTCCTACATGGTCATGATGTATAATTGTTTTCATAAGGTTTTGGACTTGACTTATTAATATTATATTGAGGATTAATACATCAATATTGATGAGGGATTGTAGTCTCTAGCAGATTCTGCTTTGAAGCAACAATACGACCAGTTTTACGCAATGGTACATATTTGGTCTACATTAACAGCAACTACCATATGCCTTATTTTACTATCTTCTTTTGTGAATAGACATTATCAAGTGATTTATTACTGGTTATTAAGACAAAAACATACTGAGGAAGTTTCTTTTAGAGATTTTCTTTTAGTTATCAATAGAAAATATGAGACCCCCTCAGACCTTGGTCCTACCTACTTCTACATTCTTCTTCATTGAATGCAGGTATTAAAGTAAGGTAGCTATTTGGGGTCATGAGGAAAAGGCCTAGCAAACAACAGATATTAGCTCTGTCATTTTTAATACACTGATAAAATGCAAAAATTTGATTAACTCCAGATTTCATTATGCCAGCAAAATAAAAGTGCATTGTTTAAGCTACTGTTAATTTACCTGTTTACTTTCAGACAACGCATTTCTAATGATTCAGCTTCCTACAAATATCAGTTCCTTTATTTTGAGGTAACTAATGATTTTGAGTTATATCTGAGAGTGTGTGTCTGTGTGTTTTATAAAGGAAGACCAGGAAATAATAAATTTCTAGCATGAGTTATTTTAAACAATACTTTATGTTATTCAGCAAGTGTTTACTTAGTATGTACTCTATACAGCATTAGCACATTGTCTTGAACCTGGAGTGAGATATCAGGTTGTTTTAAGTATTAATATTAATATTTTCAGTATTTTTATAGTGGCACTTTCAGATGTTCTTTTTTAATTTACTAATATTTAAAGCCAATTTACAGTTATGCTTTAAAATCAAAATAATTTTCATTTAAGTAACTAGATTAGGATAAGTCTAGAAGATCCATTAAGCCACCAAAGCTATTCATCTAAAGAAAAATACACGTTAAGTGCCAATTATATTCACTATTTTAAGTTCTGAGTTTACTGCGACAAACAGAGCAGACAAGACACATGCATTTTACAAAATTTACAATATACTAAATGGAAAGAGGCAATAAAAATAAAACAATTGATAATTTCAAATAACATTGAGTGATCAGAAAAATATTAAGAAAAAGTTTTAAAACTGACAAATTAGAGTTACTTTAGTTAGTATAAAGAAATATGAAATTATGTTGTAGAAATAAATTAGAACTCTCTTTGATGTCACAAAAAGGTACTCAAATTTCATAAAGATGAAGATATTCTCAGCTAGTTTCATCTTAATGAATCTTGTCAAACCGGTTGCTCACAGATGAAATATCTTGCATTCTTACATTTAATCGTCTGGTTTGGAGTGGAAATTTTATGAAATATTTTGGGCAAACTTTTTTAAGTTATAGGATTATTTATAGCTCAGTCTAGGGAACCAGGAGGCATGAGTTCTACTCATAGCCTTGCAATAATGAGGTATCTATCCTTAGGAAATCATTTTGCTCAGTTTTACAAAGTTTCGGAGCTATATATTAACATCTGCAAAACTAAAGAATTGGGGCAATGATCTTTAATATCCTTTATGTTCAAATTTTGAAGCTTCTTTTAGCTCATGATTTGAAAATAAGGATTCCGCTGAGAAATTCAGCATGTAAATAACAAAATGTTCTCTATAAAATTTCTGATATAAGGATTGAATAATTTACCATCTGTAATACTTGAAAGGATGTATTTATACCTAATATATATACAGAAAACCATGTAACATCTCATTTACTTCCTTAAAATATTTAGACATTTTAATTATCATTTCTATGTCTTTTTCTGTCAAAACGAAAACATATTTAGAACAATTTTATTCACTTTGTATTTTGCTTAATTATTTCTGGTAGTCAGCACTCATATATAAACCTGGACACTTGTAGCAGAAAAAAAACTGGATTCTTGTAGAAATAATTAAATTGGATCCCTTATTTGCAATTATAAAAATGAAGATGTCATTTTAAATTTGGGCCAAAGCGTATAAGGATTGTGCTGGTTTTTGACAAGCTGTATAAGAATGCCTTAACAATTGCATAAAGTTAACTTTAAATAGTAGTCAAAGATTTTAGTCTGCACACAGAAAGTAACCCCAAGGTAGAAAACTCAATTACTCCAAATTATCTCAACTGCCTTCTTTTTTCATAGCTAAATGATCAAAACCTTCTGTTAATTTTACCTCAGCAGAGTATTTCAAATACACTTGTCCTTAAAATGCTTGTTGTCTGTAACTCAGTTCAAGCCTTCAATTTCTCTTAGAAGAGAGGTGGTAGTAGCCTCCAATGCTATGCCAACCACCCTCCTAACAAAGTCCTCCTCATTAATGTGGTTCAGGCTGCTTTTGTCTCTAGATTATACTTCTTATAATACAGTAAGTTGTATAAGAACAGAGAGAGTTCATTTGTATCATCACCACATTATGAGAAAATATAACACATAGTAGGCAGTCTACTCATAGCAGAAACCACGTAACACCTGTTGAAATGTACTACAATTTCAGTGTAGCTCGGGAGGAGGGGTAAATTATTGGTCAAAAATTTCTTAACACTAACTAATCAAGGTAGCTTTTTAAAACATTATATACAGTGAACAACCCCCCTTTAGAAGTGATACTTTAATTGAACCTTGAGGTTTATAGAATATATATGGGAAGGGTACATTTCAGGCAGATGGAAAATGTGTGTTGGAAAGTAGAGGTCGTCTAACACTGCGGTAATGTAAGATGTGAGAGAAAACAATCAGGTAAAGATTGTGAAGGTAAAAGAATCAAATCATAAGGAATTTTTTATTCAATTTCTAGGAGTTTAAAATTTATTTTGTAGTTGAAAGAGACTGCTGAATGATTTTAAGCATGGAAATAAAATAACTCTATTTGCAATTTAGTGAGATACCAAGTTTGGAGATAGGAGGATCATTTGGTAAAGCACCCCTGGCCGTGTGAACTTACATAAGAATGCTAGATACTATATTATTACATACAAATATCCAAGATTTTATTAGATCAAAAACTGCAGAGGTGGAAATAGTCATTATGTTGAACATATAGAAATTAATGGCATATAGATCTGAAAAAAGAGATAAAAGTACAAGGGTAGTCTAAGTTGATTTTTTAATTTCTAGATTGGGCAAGTGGACAGTTTACGGGATCATAAATCAATATAAGATAAAAGGAAAATAAGTACATTTCATTTTTGGTATGTTTAGTTTCACATAGTTATGGGAAATTTAAGAAAAAATGTCCAGTATTTAGTTATATATTTGTCAGGATCTCAAGAAAGTGACCTGGGCTGGAGCTATAGATTTAGGAGGCTTCTGAGTAAAACTAGTAAACCAGAGACTAAATGAAATAACCAAGGGAGTCAATTTAGAATGAGGAAAGAAACAGAGAGAGGGAGACAGACAGACAGAAACAAAGACAGAGACAGAGAGAGACAAGGACAGAGAAAAGGAGATAGAGAAAAAAAGGGAAGAAGAGAAAAATCAGATATGACTATTAAGAAGAAATTTCCATATGCAAATGAGAAAAACTACGCAAAACATATTTTGCATAAGCCAAATAGGAGAAAGTTTCATGAAGAATCTTGTGAAAATAAGTTTCAAATGTTCAAAGAGCAAGTGAAACATAAAGATTAAAATAATTTACTATATTAGCTTAAATTTCAGTAGTGAAAGATGTCAGAATAAAATAGCCTGGGTCAGAAATTATACTTTTATATAGCAACTTAATTTTTCATAAGAATTAGATATTTATTTGGTAAGGGCACTTTAGCTTCACTGGTTACATAAATCAATCTAACTCTATTTTTCATTCTATTTAGCAGGAATTACCTAAACTCAGTTAGTTTATACAGTTTCAGGATCAGAAGGTCTCTGTTCAGGGAGGTGATGAAGAACGATAAACCACCAGAAAAAATTTCATTAGAAATAAATGAATTGGTTCAAAATAAATCACAGAAAAAAAATTCATGCTACCATTTTTATTGAAAGGATAACTAAAAACACTCAAACCTACTGTAGCATTCTTGGCTTTCTTCTTTATTCTATAATAAACTTCCAGGTGCACAAAAATATATCATAAAAAAGGGAAGACAACCACGTATGAAGCTCCTAACTTTTACAAACTTATTATATAACTTACAATAATTTATTGCTTTATATGTCAACAATTTTTACCTCTTTTAGAGATGTTTCCTATACAGGACCCCATATGATCTGAGTGACAACAAAATAATCAAAATACCTCCTTTTCTTATGTTTTAGGTGAAGCAGTTGAGGTTTCTTCCATGGGTCCAGGGAATTGATTAAGATCATTATTCTAGAGTTCAAGCCTGAAGACTACAAAAGACCAGTAAAGCCACAGACACAACTAATATAGCCTCCCAATTTATTCAAGTTTAAGAGAAAAAAGAAAGTAAGCAAAAGCTGTGTTAGCATTTAGCTTATTATGAGTTTTCCCAGCATACACTCCTATTAGTTTAATGACTTTTAAAATGGGCATTTAAAGCAGGACAAAAAAGAATATGCAGCAAAGTAGACTATGTGGGAGTTATTTATTGGGGTGGGCATGGATGATGAATCATGCTTACCGTGTATAAAATTGCTGCTGAGCCTTTGCAATACTCTGTGCAGTTAGTTTATTGGAAGCTTGAGAAATCTGTGTGCATTTCTGCTCAGACCCTCCAAGATATGATTTAGTATTAAAATAAATATATTTTCATAAATATTTTTAACTTTATAAAAAGGAAATGGTCATAAGAATTTGAGTAAGTTTTGAGTTATGCCTCCTACATCTTCAAATATATTCTGCCCTGGTAATTTTTGATGGTGTGGTTGAAAGAAGCCTGGAATTATACTTCAGGTTTTCCTTTCTGGATGCCATTTACACCTCTTCCTTAATATATAACCTTGGGGATACACTTGGCTATCTCTGAGCTAGATTATTTTTATTCTTAATCTAGAGAGTATAATTGTTGCGCTGGCTACTTCACTGGTGATAGCAACAGGAGACAGGCAAATGCCTAGGCAGACAGGTGCGGGTCCCCAGTGAAACACCACCTCCAAGCCAAACAGTTTAAAGCCTGAAAACCAAGCTACAAGTTAAATCCTCGAACTAGATTGAGAACTTGTCTTCCCGATTGGCATGCTTTCCCTGATTGACCCTCCTCACCCCTGTCTTAGTCTGTTCTCATGCTGCTAATAAAGACATACCCAAGACTGGGTTATTTATAAAGAAAAAGAAGTTTAATGAACTCACAGTTCCACATGGCTGAGGAGGCCTCACAATCATGGTGGAAAGTGAAAGAGGAGCAAAGGCATGTCTTACATATTGGCAGGCAAGACAGCTCATGTAGGGGAACTGCCCTTTACAAAACTATCAGATCTTGTGAGACTTACTATCACAAGAACAGCACAGGAAAAGCCCACCCCCATGATTCAATTACATCCCACCAGGTCCCTCCCAGGACATCTGGAGATTATGGGAGCTACAATTCAAATTGACATTTGGGTTGGGAAACAGACAAACCATATCATTCGACCCCAGGCCCCTTGCAAATCCCATGTCTTCACATTTTAAAATACAATTATGCCTTTCCAACAGTCCCAGAGTCCCACAAAGTCTTAACTCATGGCGGCAGGCCAGACAGCATGTGTAGGAGAACTGCCTTTATAAAACGGTCAGATCTCATGACACTTGTTTACTATCATGAGAGAAGCATAGGAAAAACCCACCCCCATGATTCAATTATCTCCCAACAAGTCTCATGACACGAGGAGTTTATGGAATCTACAATTCAAGATGAGATTTGGGTGGGGACACAGCCGAACCATATTATTCCAGCCCTGCCCCCTCCCAAATCTCATGTCCTCACATTGCAAAACACAATCATGCCTTCCCAACAGCTCTCCAAAATCTTAACTCTTTCCAGCATTAACCCAAAAGTACAAGTTCAAAGTCTCATCCAAGACAAGGCAAGTCCCTTTTGATCACATGATCTCTCTCTTCAAGACTTTAACTCCTTTTGAGGCAATGGGATTCCTGTGCAAAGGTCTAGGAGCTGCCTCAAGCCAAATTTATGAAGTCTGGTCTGTAAAAGAAACACAGTGAATGATGTGTTTTCTATCATCTGTTACAGAATGAAAGGTGGTGCTCTAGTGATTCTTCAATCTATAATTCTACAATTAGGAACGTAACATTTTTGACTAAAGATATGTTCAAACGAGGCAACAAGTGGCCATGAATTAAAATTTTAACGTTTGAACTACTGAACAATGGATATATTTTTTAAACTACTCATGGAGCAAAACAGAAAAAGAAAAGCTCAGTTAGACTAATTATTTGGGACTTCAGAGAACTCTAGTTTATTCACTGTGAGTGGGTTAACCTTATATTCTGGTTTGATGGAATATTCTCACATTATTCCTGTTGTCTTGTCATATTTATCATTAGTGACTCTTTCTCCCTGAAAGTGTTTTAGTTTGCATGTAAAATATACAGACATCTAATTTATCATTTGAATGTAACTGTTGAGTCAATACAAAGTAAGTCAAACCAAATATATTTTTCTTGATGCACATGTTTGGAGTAAATATGGATTTTAATGAAACTGAATCTAGCAAAGGGCAGTTTATTTTATAAAATAGAAATGAATAAAATTTTAAGGATATTGATGCTATAAGATAAAAACTGAATAAATAAAATCCTTGCTAATTGTTATAATTAGATACTGGCAGGCTAATCATAATTCAGCAAAATTCTGTATCTCTAAGTAATAATAAGGGTCTTTAAAGACCTTTATTATTTTATTATTTAAAGACCTTTAAAGATTAAACTAAAGTATTAGTTTAATCTTGGCTCCTGTTTGAGATTTTAGTTTGCATTTCTTATTCTCATAGCTTGGGAAAATTAACTAACCTTTTGACCTCAATTTTGTAATCTATAAAACACATAATAACAAAAGCCACCTCAATGGATTATTGTGAAAATGAAATGGCATAGTGCAAATATTTAGCAGACCTACTGATATCAGTGTTCAGAAATTATGAGCCACTGTTGCTACTAATTCTGTGATGTTGATAACTATTACTTTGCAAAATACTAGTTTCACTACAATCATTTATATTTATTATAAATATAGGATAGCCAAAGGAGGTACCACATAAAAACATTATTTAAAAATCAAAGTGAACATACATTTCTTTTTAAATAATTTTTCTGGAAGAAGTAACAGGTACTGTAAAAGATAAATTCAAAAATTAAAATCTAGGAATGATCCCTACATACAAATTCCAAAAGGTAAGCCATGTCTCAAGGACCATTTATTGACTGTTTATATATATTAAAAATTAAAAAGAATACAAGCTATGACAATATTTATTACACGGAATTCCAGAAGAGATAAATACTGTGTGAATTATGGTGTTATAAAATTGTACAAGGGCTGGGTGTGGTGGCTTATGACTGTAGTCTCAACATTTTGGGAGGCGCAGGTGGTAGGAATGTCTAGTCACAAGTTTGAGACCAGCCTATGCAACAAATTGAGACCTTGTCTCTTGTCTCTAAAAAAGTGTTGCATAAAAATTAGGTAGGTGGGCTGGCATGCACCTGTAGTCCCAACTACTCAGGAGGTGGAGGCAGGAGGATCACTTGAGCCCAGGAGCTGGAGGCTGCAATAAGCAATGATGCTGCCACTGAATTCCAGCCTGGATGACAGACTGACGCTATCTCATTAAAAAATAAATACCTAAATAAAAATAAAATGAAAAAGTGAACTGTTTCCGCCTTTGTATATGTAGGACTTTCACACTGATTTATCAGAAAAATTTTAGATATTCTATTTTGTAAAAATATTGCCACCACAACAATTTCAAAGCTCTGTAGTGTCCCAATGGCATGTGTTTCCACAGTTCAGAGAACATTTCCACAAACATCTCCTTGGAGCCTCACAAGAATCCTGTGATTTAAGCAAGTCAGCTCTCTCAGTCTTCAGGCTAAAATTCCTTCCCATATTCCTACACCTTCTTTAAAAAGATAATGTGACATTTTGCATTACTCCACCATCATAAAAATAATCACATGGAGACTACCTTTTTAAGCATAACGAGTGGCTTGATTATAATGCTATAGGCAAACGACTGAAGATTTCCTTTGTCTGAAGAAAGCAGTACTGGCTCTACCAAATATTTATAGTGTAAAACTCAGTTTCAACATTTGTAGAATCTGAATTTAAAAATTACCTCTCAGGACTGTCATAAAAATTCAATAATATGCTTAAAATTTTTCACATAACCTGCACAAATTAAATGCTTCCACAGATTTGTATAAAACACAACACCAACATATTTCAGGTGTTCATTAAGAATCGCTTCACGATCAATAATTTTAAATTACCACTCTGCAAAAAATTGTTAGCAGAAGTTGTTGAGTTTTCATTGCAATTAAAAGTCTAATGATACTACCTTCAGTATTGCTAATACTAGTTAGTAATAGTAGACATAGTATTTTCACGAGAAATAATAGTAATGATAATAACCATATTTAGATTTTATAAAATACTTTTTTCAGATAGTAATCATTTTTATTTTCACAATAATCTGATGAGGGAAGCACCACTATTTTCCTATTTTAATGTTGAAGAAGCTAAGGGATCTTGATTTGCCCAAGATCAAACTTCTGCTTAGTAGGGGCTTAGATTTGAATCCAGAAATTTCACCTCCAAGATGTGTGCTCTTCACAATTATTCTATTAATAATTTATAGAGGATCTATAATAGAATTACACTGGTGTGTTTAGAAAAACTATTATTTTATTGTTTATACAGAATATAAAAACTACCTGTTTAATCATTTTCAGTTAAGTATAATGTGAAGTAAATACATAAATTAACTGACACAAATCTGAGCTCCTTTTTTCTTAATGTGTTTTCCATTTTCATTGTAAAGTGTAAGAATCTTATTTCTTAAATGATAACAATGCTAACATTAATAATCAAGAATTATTAATAATGTACCTTTTGAGTGCCTTAATTGTATAAAGGGCATTTGTTGTTTGTGAATATTCTACTTTATTTTATCATTTAATATAATTCAGAATACATGAATAAATTAAAAATTGTGAGATATTTTGCAATTTTGTAGGGGACATTAAAATTGAAATTATCAATAAAATAATTCAAAATTTTGTGAAGTATTATGCTTTCCAAATTTTTTCATTTTCTTTAACATAACTGTTTTCTATCCGTTTCAAAACACACGGACTGAATTTTTCTTTAGATCAGTGTTTCTTTGATTAGGTCACTGTAAAGAGAAATTCAATAGACCTTAAGGCCTTGCTCTCCCTAGTACTTCTTGGACTGTTTGTAGCTGGCAGCAGAAGGTAATAATATATTTTGAATTATTAAAGTAAAGGTTCATTTTTAACATTAATGAAAAATTCAAAGACAGGTTTTACTACAAGAATCGCTGTGAGAAAAAATGAGACTTTATTTTAGTGTGCATTATAGTTTCATATTATAATAAATATAACATCAACATTAATAAATATAGCATTACAGACACGGAAAAATGTGTTTATTTGCAACCTTGGCAATTTCGCACATTTTGGTTACAAAACTGTACTTTTTGGGGAAAAATAGAACAAAGACACAAATGATTATTCGAAAATATGCTAAAGGTGGTTACTATCTCATGATACCTAACAAAATAACCAAATTTAGTAATTTTTGCTTCTATTTGCATTATCTGATATTTTCTAAAACACTATACTTTTATATTTATAAATGTCAACATTTGCATCTTGATTTGTAAACATGTTTGTTATAAAATTAGACTTTATACAGTTTACTTCAACTTGCTTTTTTTTTTTTCTGATTCTATTACTTTTATTAAATAGTGGGTTTCCACACATGGCTTTTTAAATAATCCAGGCAGGGGGAGAAGAGAGGAGGGCACACTTGGAACTCCCCTCCCCACAATACGTGATTATTTACATTTTAGCAATTGGACAATCCCGGCTCAGGAGAATGTTGCAAGAAATCTGCTAAAGTTGGAGGGGGCGCCCCAGGAGAACAAACAGCAAGCCTTATTTCCCCTAGCCCATCCCCCAAAAAACCATCCATCCCATCCTAGTGTCTGGTGGGGTCCGGTGGTGTCCATCTCCCATTCCTTCCCAAATTCGGAAGTAAGGTTCTTCTCACCAGAATAAGAGCACTTTGGATAACAGAGTAGGATCCCCTCACCAAAAAAAAAAAAAAAAAAAAAAAAAGCCTTGGAGTAACAAGGGATTACCTCCCCCAGAATAAGGAATCCTGGGCTGAGGCAGGTAAGCAGCTTGACCCAATATGGGACCCTAGGCCAGGGGAAAGGGGTCCCTTTGCTAAAATAAAAGTTACTAGGGTATTGGAAGGAAAGCACCCTTGCCCAAGTAAGAGCATATGAAGGAAGTTTGTGTGATGGTAGGAGGAGGTGCCAATGTAGGGGTGACACGTCATCAGAATGAGTCCCGGGGCTCAGAATGGAAACAACTTCACCCGAAATAAACGTCGTTAGCAAAATTAGAAACAAGAAGTTCCCCCTCCAGAATCAGGGACCACAGGTTCTGGGAAGAAATCTTCTTTGTAGGATTGGGAAGGGAACTGGGCAGACTTGGCTTATGTCTTCTAACCCCTGATCCTCAATCCCTTACCTCAGTAATACTGGACTTTAATGACCGGTAATGACCTGTAAAACCAAGTCAACAAATGTCCATCTATCCCTGTGACATGGCCATGGGATGGCTCTTCCCACCATTGGGGGCCAGGCCAGGCTTAGGGTAGCAAGGACCAGGCCAAAGGGGTGGGCCCTCCTTTTGGGGGGTTGAGGGGTGTATCCTCGGCTGGTGTTTGCATCCAGGGGTCCAGCAGGATCTCCTCCAGTGAGGGTCGGGAAGAAGGTTTGGGGGCCAGGCACCGGCGGATTAGGGCACAGCAGTCTGGGAAGACATGGGCAGTGAAGTGAAGCTCAGCTTCCAGAATTTCCTGGTCCCTCTCGAAGGGAATGTCCCCACACACCATGTCATAGAGGAGGATACCAAGCGACCAGACAGTGGCTGGGAGTGCATGGTACTGGTGTCGAGAGATCCACTCTGGGGGGCTGTACACCCTTGTCCCATCAAAGTCAGTGTAGGGTTCATCATGAAGCAGGGCACCAGAACCAAAATCAGTGAGTTTGGCACAGCCACGGCGTAGGTCTATCAGGATGTTCTCATCCTTGATGTCACGATGGACAACTCCACGGGCATGGCAGGGCTGGATGGCAGCCACTACTTGGCCAAAGAAGCAGCGGCTTGAGCCTTCACCCAGCGGGCCCTTCTCTGTGATATAGTCAAAGAGATCCTGGGCGGGCAGAGGCCGCTGGAGGACCAGCATGAAGCCCTCTTGTGTCTCAAACCAGTCAAGCAGGCGGATCACGCCAGGGTGCCCACCACCTGCACCCACTTTCCATAGCAGTGCCACTTCGAGTGGGCATGTGACTGAGTCTGACAAGGGGGACCAGGCCAGCACACGATTCCGGGGAATCACTTTGATGGCCACCTGGAGTCGATCTGTGACGCGGTGTCCTGCGAAGACGGTGCCAAAGCCCCCCTTACCCAGGAGGGGGCCGAGTCGGTACTCGGCCTCGAACGCTTCCCGATCCTTGCCTCCTGGCGGCGGCGTGGGGGTCACGGGGGGCGCGGGGGGCCCCTGCAGAGGCTTGGTCAACATGGAGGATGCACCGCGCAGATTGAGCCGGCTGAACCCGCTAAGCCCGCAGGGCGTGGACGCCCGGGGCAGCGCAGCTGGGGAGCCAGGGCTGGGGGGCGCCAGGGTGGAAGACAGAGAAACTGGTGGTCCGGAAGCGCCCGCAGACGGCCCAGCGTTAAGATTCGCCTCACGCGCCAGCCCCAAAGCTACTCTCAACTTGCATTTTTACCCTGCTTTAAAATGATGTGTTTTGCTTTTCCAAAAAGCATCATTTGCTTGTCCAGAGAGTTTTACCCCATTTGATATTGCTGATTGCATCTCTGTGGTGCAATGTGACATGCCCTTCTGCTCTCTTCAGTCCTGTAAAATTCTGTTAGATCTAAAGTTTTATTTATTTATTTATTTATTTAGTCAGTTAGTCAATTCTATTATGTACTAAGCACTGCTGTTTTTCCAACGGAAAAGTTCATAATGTGCTGTTTTTTGTTTATTTTAATAGCCATTACTGATCAATTAATTTATTACATGCTTGATTTGTGATATCATTTGAATTCTGAAAATCAAATTTGCAAATACTTGTTTTTTATTTTTTTGAGACAGAGTTTCGCTGTTGTTACCCAGACTGGAGTGAAATGACAGGATCTCGGCTCACCGCAACCTCTGCCTCCTGGGTTCAAGCAATTCTCCTGCCTCAGCCTCCCGAGTAGCTGGGACTACAGGCACGCACCACCATGCCCAGCTAATTTTTGTATTTTTAGTAGAGATGGGGTTTCACTTTGTTGACCAGGATGGTCTCGATATCTTGACCTCGTGATCTACCCACCTCGGCCTCCCAAAGTGCTGGGATTACAGGCTTGAGCCACCGCGCCGGGCTGCAAATACTTGTTTAATTACATTTTGTTCATATCAGAATGGTGAGTTGCACTTTTACTTTGTTTCTTAGCTTTGCTTTGAGAATTTTTCTGTTTAAAAACACATACTTCTCATGCTTTCTTTTATTCTTGTAGTAACTTTGATGAGCTCAATGCTCACAATTTTTGTTTTTTATTTTTGTGTTGAATTTTCTAGGACTAACAGTAGAAAATAAACTAGGGTGGTAAAGTTTGATGGCTTTCCTCATTTCTAAGTTCAAGCATATTACTTCCTGTCTCTATAGGGGTTCCTTCAACAAATAGAAATAAATGGAACTTTCTCTGGTTTAACATTCCCTAAAGGTTTCTTTTTCTTCATCATTTTCTACTTTTAGTAAGGCTTTGGTTCTTAGCCATTTCTGCATTCCATATTGCTACCAAGCCTCCACGTAGCCTCTCTCCAAGGACCCTCCGTTGCCTCCAGAACTCATATTTGCATGATGCTTCCATACTTAGCAGGACACCTTTTTAAATTTATTTTCATTTGACTCCCTGTTAAGTGTTCTATGTGCTTTCTTACCCTGGTTAGGACTTTTTACTTCTGAGGATAAATTGGAAGGTTTGTTTTTTTTTTTTCCTGTGGGCTTCCCAGATTAGAATCCTATGGCCCTCTTTTAGGTTCATCACAATTGTCTGTGACACCTCTGTGTCACAACTTCTCTGCAAATTACAAGACCTCACATTATGCCAGACAATGTAATATACAATATATCCACGAATAGACATATGTTATTAAAATATTTGAGTTATAAGGAGCATTATTTTAAATTTGAAGAAAGGAACAATAATGCACGTTAGCTATAAACATACAACAAGCAGGCTTACATTGTTACCTCCTATTCCTTCAGAAGAGAATCTTTACTTTGTGCAAGAATCCATCTACAATTTGGTTTGTCAATAAATGACAAAATTTTATTTTTTAAATGTTACCAATGTCAATTTCAAACCCAGTGTTTAAATGTAGAACAATATAGTACAACAGGAATTCTAGACACAACTTTTCTCTATAGTGAATGTAAGCAATTCTGAATCCTTATGGATGGGGGCAGCTGTGTCCTCCTGTGCTGGGGGTTGGCTAAAGTAACTGGAAATTCCTCAATTAACTTCTAGGTAAAATCAATGTTTATTAAAGAATAAGTAATAAAAATGTGT